GCCCGCTGATGGTGATGCGCGTGTTCTCCTCCACCTTCACACTCACGCCATCGGGGACCTTCATGCGCACCTGTTTAATGGGAGGAGAGGGGAGGTATGGAGAGGAGAGGAGGTAAAGTTAGTGAGCAGTTGCCACCGCCATCTTGTCCCGCCCGCTGATGGTGATGCGCGTGTTCTCCTCCACCTTCACCGAGACTCCGACAGGGACCTTCATGCGCACCTATGCAACGGGAGGAGAGGGAAGGGACAAAGAGGAGAGGAATAGAGGCAGGGGGAGGAGAGGAGAGGAGACGGGATGAAGCAGATAATAAGTCATCCACTGCCACCTTGTCCCGCCCACTGATGGTGATGCGCGTGTTCTCCTCCACCTTCACGGCAATGCCCTCAGGGACTTTCACGGCCACAGACGTTGCCATGGCTACCAATGCTGATGCATTGCATGCGCCACGCACTCGCAAGCCAACACACCTCATGGCAGGCAGGCAGTGTGAAAAGATGGGAAGAGTACCAGAGAATGCACGGATCAAAAGACAAGCTGGTAACATAAATTCCTGTGCACGCCTCGAATCAAACCAGAACGACAAGAAAACGGCAAACAGAGGGTGAGTAGAGGAGATGTCGCATGGCTATGTGTGATTGCTCCCAAACACTGTTTTGTGCCTTCTGTGGCAACACAGTTCCGTATGATCACAATATTGAGCACACATGGTCATGTACGAACCTGTGCAATTGTATATGTAAATCAGGTGAAGCAGCAGCAGATGGCTCACCTGGTGCGAGAGGCCCGGGTTAAGAACAAGCCCGACTTGTTAATGACCGCACGCTACCCCACTTGAAGGCCTTTTTGAACAGTGTGTGGTGCATTTTGCATCTGCGCGGTTTCACACCTAGGTGATTCGTGTGCTGTGTGCATTATGGAGACTCACCTGGTGCGAGACGTCGAGGTTAAGAACAAGTCCCGTCTTGTCAACAGCGGCACGGGGTACCCCACTTGGACTTGTGAATGACCCAGGTTGACCCAGGTTGACCCAGTCAATAACACTGTGGGGTGCACGAGCAGGTGCCTCACCTGGTGCGAGAGACCCAGGTTGAGCACGAGATCCGTCTTGTCAACGGCCGCACGGTACCCCACTTAAAGCCCAGTGCTAACATCGTGTGCTGTGAATCCGACTTGCACTCACCTGGTGCGAGAGACCCAGGTTGAGCACGAGGTCCGTCTTGTCAACGGCAGCACGGTACCCCACTCCCACCAGCTGCACGGTACCCCATTTAAAGCCCAGTTCTAACATCGTGTGCTGTGAATCCGACTTGCACTCACCTGGTGCGCGAGGCCCAGGTTGAGAACAAGATCCGTCTTTTGTCAACGGCAGCACGGTACCCCACTTCCACCAGCTCCACGGTTCCCCACTTAAAGCCCAGTTTGAACATCCTAGAGGCTCACCTGGTGCGAGAGACCCAGGTTGAGAACGAGGTCCGTCTTGTCAACGGCAGCACGGTACCCCACTCCCACCAGCTGCAGCTTCTTCTCGAAGCCCTTCGCCACACCCTGCACCATGTTGTCCGTCAGCGTGCTGCAGGAGAAGGGGAGGAAGGGGTAAAGAGTGGGACCGAGGGGAAGTTGTGACGCGTGTGCTAATGCGAAAAGAGCAACACTACTCCTAACACCTTCGCCACGCCCTGCACCATGTTGTCGGTCAGCGTGATGCAGGAGAAGGCAAGGAAAGGGTGACGAAGGGGACGGAGGACGGTTGTGACGTGTGTGGTAATGAGAAACGAACGGCAGTGCTCCTAACACATTCGCCACGCCCTGCACCATGTAGCCCGTCAGCGTGCTGCAGCAGCGGGGGAAGAGAGACAGAGAGGGCGCGCTGGAGGAAGCGCGAAGGAGAGGGACGGTGAAGGAGGGCGTGGTGTGGGGCGGAGGGGAAAGGAAGGGCGAAGGAGGGGGACGGCTGTGACGCGAGTGTTAAGAAACGAGTGGGCGGGAGGGCGGAGTGGGGTGAGAAAGAGGGGAGAGGGGGGCGGGGAGGAGGGGGGGTGAAGAAGGGAAGAAGTGAGGGGATAAAGGGAGCAGGGAACACGGGATAAGGGAATCTGAAGGCAATTTATTAAGAACGAATGAAAGGATGGGGAGGGCAAATACAGGGGCAATAAACGGAGCGATCAGGAGAAGTGTGGGAAACTAATTTTAGCTACTGCTGCAGCCGCTGCTGCTGCTGCTGCCGCCGCCGCCGCTGCTGCTGCTGCTGCTACCCCAGCTGCTGTTACAACCTGCGACAATGCAACACCACTGCTGTTGCAACTGCTTCAAGAAGGAAGGGCGGCACGCTCTTACGAACCGCCACGTCTCGACGATCCCATGCGCCACTCTTAATACCTACAAACACCTCGAACCCTCCAGCGAAGACCTCCAGACCGCGTCCTGCAGTTGGCCGCTGCTGTCGCTACCCGCGTAAGGAGCACGGTCGCAGGTGAACCGGCCACTCTCTGAGCTACCGCGAATCCCGCAACATGCGCTCAACCCTAATCCCGTCGTAAGCGCTAACGCGGTTGGGTCACACTCGATCGTGCCACCCGCGGGCATTCACTACGTTGAATATCAGTGAAATTAAGCCGGCTTCTTCCTGCCTGTCTGCTCCCAAATTTCACTCAATACCATAAAAAATTTTAGCCACTGCCGCCGAGTCGCCTTCTACCGCAAGTGACGGTTTCGAGCATAGTCGCCTCCTGCAACCAGGCGCTAGACGAGAACGGCTCCTGACGGTGACAGTGAGCCGCGTGACAACTGCGTGACAGTGTGTCACCACTACCGGAACGGTCTGGACGAGTCACTTACTGGTGCGGCCCGTTCAGGTAAAAAAAAAGGAAAACGAACAAGGATCGGTACGTGTACGTAAAAATGGAGAGGCTCCAGGAGAAAGACTCACCGGAAGAGTCCGTGCATGGCGCGGGCCTGCCGCGTCTCGAGCGCGCGGTTGACGGTGATGACGCCGCCCTCTTCGCTTAGGCGCACCTCCCGCGGGTACTCCCTTGACAGCTCGCCGTTAGGCCCCTTCACCACTAACGACTGGCCGTCAAGTTTGATCGTCACGCCGGCCGGCACGGGGATGGGTTTCCGGCCGATTCGTGACTCCTTGCAGACAATGCGGCCGGCTAACAGGCCTTGCTGGTTGAGGGTTTGGGAAGAGGCTGCTGCTGACGTGGCACGCAGTGATTGAGCCTCGCCAATGAACGAACTCCTGAGAGGAGAGACGAGGCGAGACATACAGCAGGGGAAAGAATAGGGATCAACCGGGAAAACACGGTAGGGAGGGAGGACATGGAGCGTGAAAGGCGGAAAGCCTTGGAATAACGTGAAGGTGGAAGGTGGGGACGGGAGGGTGGAGATGTATGGCGGCCTGGGATTTTAGGGATACTACGCATGTCGATTGAAAAGCAGGCGGAAGAATCTGGAAAAAGAGCGCAGCCTTAAAAAACACGTCGTAAGGCGAGTTGTGTAACAGAATGTGGCGAACAATGCGGACGAACTGCCGCCATAGTAAGAAACAGGGTTTTGCTTGCAAGGCATCTGAAGCACGTTATATGACATTCCCTCCTACGTGGCTCGGTCGAGTCTAATGGACGAGCTCATAAACCGTCCTCCTAGTTAGCGTCTCGTGAAACGTGGAAGGTCTAGCTGATGTCGGGAGCACGGCCGTCATTATGGCAGGAGCTTCGTTAAACAGCCTAATACCGGTAGCCGGATTGATTCTGAAGATTTGTATCGGTAGGTTCATGAGCTCGCTTATAGCGAAGATATACGGATGCCGAAGTAAGGAGCACAGTCACCAGAGACCAAAAGCGCAACGAGTGGCGGTTCTGTTACCTGCTCGGCGCGCTGAAGCCTAGTATCCAGACGTCAAGACCTAAAGCCAAACAAGTGGCGAATTTTCCATCATATGGCACGGCATTACTGAGAATGTAACGAGCTGGCGGAAAGCATTTTGGGATTCTGACACACTTCTGTTTCATATCGGCTCAGTTGGCGACTAAAACTAACAATCGCAATGTCGCAACAAAGGTGACACCCCCGTAAATCCGCACCTCAGGGCTACTCTTTCAATGGTCGCAGACTGAAGCACCGCGGATCCCGCCATGGCGACGCGGTTTGGCTGGCGCGAGGTAAGAGGTACGCCAAAAAGGTGAGAGTTACGCTAAGAGGCTCCCTGAAACAACCCCTAGGTTTAGGTTGAGGAACCGGCCTGGGGGGTTGAGAAATTTTGGAGAGGGATGGAAAGGGGAGGGAATGGGCGAGAGGGTAGCAAGGGGAAGGGAAGGAAAAATGGGGAATTTGTGGGTGAAGGTACACGGGGCCACGGGGGAAGGGTCGCCGCCACAGGAGCAGGTCGGGAGGGGGAGGAGGAGCGTGGTACCGGGGGAAGTTGGCGGACGCGGTGGGTAGGGGAAGGGGGATGGGGAGGAGGGATGAAGCATAGCAGATGTTCGAGAAGGGGGAAGCGGAAAGCCATCATGGTTGCGGGGATGAGGGATTGGATGAGAAAATGCGGACGTGGCCCACTTTTGGTGAAAGTGCTGGCTGACGTGACATGAAACCCGTGGCCGTACCCTTTTTAGGCGCATTAAGGGAGCTGGGTATCGGGTTCTGATTGGTGGGTTTGGCAAAATACGAAATAAATCAAATTATATGGAAAGTATATTATTGAGATTCGTTCTACATAAAAACGTTAGCTTATATTTTGTTACGCGTGCAATTTGGAAGGCGAAAATTGCACTTTTGAGGCAAATGAGTGTACTGAGTGAAGTGCCAAAATGGGAATGTTCACTTAATGAGGGAGATGAGTACCGTCTTTTCATCTACTCTACACTTCATATGCCACCTTGCCTAGGGGTTCATATTCCCCCACCTCCAGCTCCGCACTGCCCCACCTCCTCCTCACTACCCCACCCCAGCTGCTGCGACACCCTGTGTGGTTTTGGATCAGTCACACACACGGGAAGGATTACACCCGGCACTGCGCAGGAGCCTTGGTGCTGGCATGCGAGATGATGCTGGCCTCATCTGCTGTCACCCCCGCTGCATCGCTGTTCCTCCTCCACCTCCACACCGCCTCGCCCTTGCTGGCGCCCCCTCCCACCGACAGCACCCCAAACCCATACGCTGCCTGCCGGAAGGCCGACCATGAAGGCTTGGGGGAGAGGAAACTGCGCAGCGAGGGGGAAAAAGGAAGAGGGAGGGTTTTCAACCCCGGGCGAAGGGGGAGAGCGTGAAGTGGGGAGGGGGAAGCAGGTGCGGGGGAAGGGAGGATTGGAGTGGGAAAGGTGGAGTGGGAAAGAAAGGTGGACAAGGGATAGAACTAGTGAGACAATTTGAGGAAAGACGACAACAAAAAGACGAGCGGATTTGAGGGAGGGTTCGTGGAAGGAGTGGAAGGGAGAACAATGAAGAAGCGTAAAGGACAAGATAGAAGAGAAGAGAAGAGAAAGAGAGAAAAAAAGAAGTGAATAGAAGGGCAAGAGAAAACAGAAGTGAAGAGAAGAGCAAAAGAAAAAGTGAAACAAAGAGAAGAGCAAGAAAGAAAAAGCAGCGAAGAGAAGGGCAGGAAAGAAAAAACAGCGAAGAGAAGGGCAAGAGAAAAGAGAAGCGAACAGAAGATCAGATAACAAAAAAAAAAGCGAAGAGAAGGGCAAGTGCGTGGGGTTCTGACAACGAGAACTAGGGAAAGAAACGAAGGGAAGGGCAAGAGAGAGAGAGAGAAAAAAAAGAGAAGCGGAGGGCAAGAGAAAAGAGAAGCAAAGAGAAGAACAAGTGAGTGGGGTTGTGCCAGCGAGAACAGGGGAAGGACACGAGATGATGGGGAAAGACTTTCTGACTTGTGCTGTGAGTGATGAGATGGTGGTGTATGCACGCACGCATGTAGAAGGGTGAAGGACGACGAAGCGGAACGAGCAGAGCTGTGGGATTGTGGGTACATTGCCTTATGGCACGTCTATCAAGGTTCGAAATGAGTCACTTCATGTGGGTATATGTGCGCGCGTACGTGCGTGCGTTTTTGTGTGTTTGTGTCTAAGTGCACCTAAAAACGAGTCACCTTGTATAGAGGTCGTCCCCACCAGTGCCGACAGTCAGGTGCACCATGCCACATGGGTCCTGGGCATTGTTGTAAAGCGGCACCTGGGGAATGTGAAAATGGGAGGATGCATGCAACAAAAAAACACGCACTAAGATTCAAATTCATTCAAGGGGCGTGCAGCAGCAGCAGCAATGAGATGCAGCAGTGAGATGCAGCAGTGAGATGCAGCAGTGAGATGCAGCAGTGAGATGTAGCAGTGAGATGCAGCAGTGAGATGACAAGAGGACAGGAGTGGCGGTAAGAGAGAGGAGAGTGAGAGAATACAGAAAATGACAGGGCGAGGGTGCATGTAGTGTCCACAAACAACATCAGCCCTGGCTGCACATTAGCATCAGCTCCAATGAGTATGCAGTCCCGCAGAGCCTACCCTTGAGCCTCGCACACTCACCATGCGCTCTCGTGCTGCACATGCATGTGCGTGCGGGCAGCATACATACAGCATCTGCCCCAGCGCCCCGTCTTCTCACCATGCCACACACACACACCACCCCGCTCTCTCCGACTCACCGTGCGCTCGTACGAATGCGCGTGGCCGCACACCACCACATCCGTGCGTGCATCATACAACGTCTTCTCAAGTGCCACCCGCATGGCCTCCCCACTGAGGTGGTGCTCCTTGTTGCTGTGATACCATGCCTCGTGAAACACCGCTATCAACCACGGCGTCACACTGCGGTTCACCTTGGATAGGTCCGCCTGGGGAGGGCACGGGGGGAAGGGGTGGGGAGGGGATCAGAAGGAAGGGAGGAGAGGAGCAATGCAAAGCCATGGCGTCACCCTGCGGACCACCTTATCTAAATCCGCCCGGGGATAGGACGAGAGGGGATGGGTGGGAGGGGTCTGGGAATACAAAGCTATGGCATCTTGCAATCTGTCTGAATCCCTGTCACTACACAACTGGGATAAATTGACTTGTTAAGTGGCGAATGAGTACGCGGATAACCCCCCAGACAAGAGTGCCAATAACCATTCCCTAGAAACAATCGGGGATCCCAAGTGCAGGTCTTCTGACACCCCCTTCACTTGAATGCCTAAGGACACAACAAAGCGACAGCGACACATGGGCACATGAGGATTCGAACCCGAGATCTTTGCTGTGATACCATGTCAGGATCCTTGCCACTACACCACTGGGATAAAAGGATTTGCTGGGTTTTGGGAGAAAAAAATAGGGAGCAGACATGTGGGTGTAGCAACTGACAACAAGCACAGAGAGACTCGCAGCACACCTGGAGCCAATTGTACTGGGCAGACCCTTGGGAATAGTCATTGTAGCACGACAGCACCACCCAGTGAATGCTGCCACTGTCAAACGAGTAGAAGAGATTCGACGACGACCCGCTGGCAGCAGCGGGCATGGGCCAGCGCAGGTTGTACGCCTTGAAGGGGTTCAGGCTCGGCGCGCCCTCGTCAGCCTCGTCCTCGTGGTTCCCCGGGGCTGTCATCCAGGGTCGGAGGGACGCCGCCGGCTGGATGAGCTCCTGCCACGTGTCCCACTGTGGTTGGTTGCCGTTGGCATAGGAGAGGTCCCCTGGGAAAACGACTAGAGAGTGTGCCGTGCGGGAGAGGCGAGAGATGGTGTCGGCTGCTGGTGGCTTTTGGCCCATGTCAGCTGGTGGAGGGGGGGGGGGGGGGGGGGGGGGGGGGGAAGGGGGGGATGGTGGGGGTGAGGGGGAGGGTGGTTGGAGGGGGCTTTTGAGTCATCTTACAAGTTGCCTGGAGGCGGCTGCTAGTGGACTGGAGCCCATATCGGCTGGTGATGAGGGGAAAAGAGGGGGAGGGCGGGAAGGGAAGGGGGGAGGACAAGGGCTTGGGGCGTGCGGGAGCGGCGAGAGATGTTGGTGGCTGCTGCTAACGTGGAGGCCATATCAGCTTGTGGTGGGGGAGGGGGAGGGGGATTGGGGGAGGAGGGGAACGGTTGAGAGGAGAAGGGGGGCACGAGTAAAAGGAAGGGGAGTGCTTATGTGTAGAGAAAAGAGTGGGGAGGAGCGGGGCGTGCAGGAGAGGCGTGTGATGGTGGCGGCTGCTGATGGTGCTGTGTCCATGTCGGCGAGCGTGCATGGGGGGGAAGGGAGGGTGGGTGGGGTTCACTTTTGAGAATTCTCAAGGGTGGGGTTGGTGGTGGCGGCTGCTGGAGCTTCCGCTGCTGCGACTGCTGGTGCTGTGTCCATGTCGGTCAGCTTGCATGGGGGTGACTGAGGGGAGGAGACAGGGGCGGAGGGGGAGAAGGAGAAGGGGCGTCAGAAGTTCCAAGTGCCCCAATCAGATGTAATTCCTGCCGCCCCTCCCACCCACTCCCCTATTACCAAGCCACAACACGGCCAAGCACAGTGCAACGCACCTACGAGTGCAACGTCGATGGGCTTTCCCGGCAGCGGCGGCATCTTGAAGGCAAACTCGGGCCCCGCGCCTCCCAGCCCACAACACAGCCGACGACAGTGCGACCCACTCACCAAAGAGTGCCACATCAATGGGCTGGGATGGCAGCGGTGGCGTTTTGAAGGCAAACTCGGGCCCCGCGCCTCCCAGGCGGTAGAAGTAGGTGGTGGCGGGCTTTAAGAGGCCGTCATTGAAGCGCCGCCCCAGCAGCACCTTGTGAATGTACCCCGACCTGGGAATGGGCGGCAGGGCAGGGATGATGACATGGCAACAGGGCATAGATGACGTGGCAACAGGGCACGTCGTGACACCGGAACATGTATGACGTGGAAACAGGCATGGATTGCTGGCAGTTGCAAAAGGACGCAGCCAGGGGCATTGGATGCGGCATGCAGGGCGAGGGGGGGCGGAGCGAGGAGTGAAAGAAACACGGGGAACAAATCACAGGAACAAAGCACTCATACGTGTATTTGTTGAACCGATAACCAGTCACAATCCCTGAGGCCACTCTGGTGTACTGGCCGCGGCTCTCCCCATACTCCACTGTTGCTGGTGAGTTGCCAGCTGTCACCCACCACACCAGCATCCGCCCACCCCCTGCCAGTGACACGTGCACCTGCAGGCGCGGGGGGCGGAGAGGAGGGAGGGGAATGGGGGGAAGGGGAGAGGCAAGGGCATGGCGCAAAGGCGTGGGGCAGTGGCTGCTGGTTTGCCCGTCGTAACCCACCACACCAGCACTCGCCTGCTGCCCGCCAGTGATATGTGCACCTGTAGGAGCGGGCGGAGAGGAGCCATGGGTTTGGCGCAAAGGCATCATGGGGGCAAGGGGACGTGGCCGGTGTGTTGGCAGCACCCGCCCGCCGCCTGCCAGTGGCAAGCGCACCTACAGGCGCAGGCGGAGAGGAGCCATGGGTTTGGCGCAAAGGCGTCATGTGGCAGTGGGGGCAAGGGGACTTGGCTGCCGTGTTGCCAGCTGTCACGCACCACACCAACACTCGCCCGCCCCTCCTAGCGACACGTGCACCTGCATGAGAGGAGGGGAAGGGTGGTGGAGGAGGGGGAGTCAAGGGAATAGCGCAATGGCATGGGGCAGAGGCGCAAAGGCATGGGGCAGAGGCGCATGTCGCGATATATATTTTTATAAGTGTTTTTAACTGCCTGTAGCTTTAGCTTTAGTGTAGTTATGTTTCCTTGCTGTTGGTGGTGCACCTTTGCTAGTTTGCTATATGCACCTTGTGTGCTATAGTGAACAGCACACATTCTCGATTCCCCTTGGCCTTGACTCTCGTCACCCGCTTGGCCTAGGCTTAAACCCAGTTACCATTTAAGACACTATTGTAACAGCGCAAAGGCATGGGGCAGCGGCACAGGGAAACGCAGGACGAGCAGGGTAGGCCCGTGCAGGGTAGGCCTTGCCTCGCCTGGCTGCTGCGTTGGGTGGGCACGGGGCGAGGGGGGGAAGGGACGAAGGGGCGAAGGAGCGAGGAGGAAGGGGCGAGGGGGCGAGGAGGGAAAGGGACGAGGGGGGGAAGGGACGAGGGGGGGAAGGGATGAGGGGGGGAAGGGATGAGGGGGGGAAGGGACGAGGGTGGGAAGGGACGAGGGGGCGAAGGAGCGAGGGGGGGAAGGGACGAGGGGGTGAAGGAGCGAGGAGGAAGGGGCGAGGGGGTGAGGGGGGAAAGGGACGAGGGGGGGAAGGGACGAGGGGGGGAAGGGACGAGGGGGGGAAGGGACAAGGTGGGGAAGGGGCGAGGGGGCGAAGGGGGGGAAGGGACGAGGTGGGGAAGGGGCGAGGGGGCGAGGGGGGGAAGGGACGAGGGGGGAAGGGGCAAGGGGCGAAAGGGGGAAGGGTGGAAGGGGCGGGGGGGGGGAAGGGGGGAAGGGGGGAAGGTGCGAAGCGGGGGAAGGGGCGAAGGGGGAAGGTTCGAAGGGGCGAAGGGGCGAAGGGGCGAGAGGGCACAGGGGCAAAGGGGGCGCAAGGGGGCGCAAGGGGCACAAAAGAATGGGCAGGACAAGGGGAACGGGCCAGGGTACGGCAAGGGGCAAGGGACAACGCAAGGGGGGGCAAGTGGCAAGGGGGAAGTGGCGGCACGCGGACATGCAGGAAGGCAAGGGTGCGGGGCGTTGGCGAGGCACCTGTTGAGGCTGCGATTGCGCTATCTGCCGCAGCAGCTCCCGCCCGCGCAACCAGCAGGTTCGATTTCCTTCCCGCGCGGGGCCAGAAGATGCCGCGCGGGGACAGGCGGCGACGACGAGGAGCGCGAGCAGCGCAAGAGCGCGGAAACTCCGCACATCGGCGCAAGGCGATCGGCGGAAGAAATGCGCGGTACTAGCGACGGGGGGACGTCTATCCATTGCAGGCCTAGCTATCACACGGCTGTGTTCGATTCTCCAAGGAAAATAAATAATTAGATAAATAACGTCCTAGTTGGAGCCAAATAGTCGTGGCGGGTACATAGGTTCCCTGTTCGCGTGACGCCGCGGTTCGACGTCACTGTAACGCCCTGCGGAGTATACGGCGCCTAGAAAAGAGAGGTCTATTCTCAGCAGAGCTGCGTTGTCCTTAGTAAGGGACGTTCCTCTAAAAGTAATGTCACACTTGTATGCGAACTTCGCATATTGAATATGGCATTGCCAGTGGACGTTGAATGCATCGCTTAGGGAAACTCCATCTTTCAGACCAAATCCGTCAGCTCTAAAATACGCCGTTTCTGTTGATAATGAATGGATGTGAAGCATTTCCCTGCCAGAGTTCGTCTGAAGCCAACATCGCTGGCTGTCCGCAATCTGACATGCCGGAATGGGCTATGTCGAGTCGCCCTTATGACCGTCGCCTCGCCAACATTGCTGCTGGAGTGTTGAGGGATCGCAGATTGTCAGCCAGTAAAAAGCGTCGGATTATTTCGACACAGTCACATTCATGCTTATCTGACGCCTATCTGACAACCCCCGATTGCGCAATCAGCACACACCGCCCCCTCCGGGCATGCGAATCGTTCGCGGCATAGGAGATGCACAAATCACATTGGTACGCGAACACTCTCGACAGACGAAAGCTGCGTCAGCGATGTTCGTGAATGCGCTTCGAGTTGTTGAAAGATATCGTTGAAACTTACGAAGGCTTTCAGCTGATCACGCAGGGTTACTGAAACTACCCGAAGATACCTTTTCGCTTACCCACAAAGTGTTTATAACACGTCTGCTCTATTGAGGGACCCATACTAAATGGATAGTATATGGTACAAACAAGAAAAAGTCTACCCAGGTAGACTATTGAAGAATCCAGCTAATCTTAGCCCACATTCCATGATATATGGTAGCCTCGCTCGCTCCCTCCCAACTCCCCACCCCCCCTCTTCAACCACACTCACTCCCACACATCCAACGTACGAAACATCACATTCACCCTCTTCACCTCCTTCTGTTGCCACTCATTCAGCACTTCTATCTGATGCCTTCTCATCTGCCCATCATTGATCAAAAAGTGCAGGTGCCGCAGGCTCAACCTCACACCCGCATGCGTCCCGCCCTCCACACCCCTTCCAATCCCACTCTCCGGCGGATCCCACGCTACATTCATAACCTGGTAACCAGCAAACCAGATCCGATAAGTAAAATGCCAATCGGTGATAATCCCGCACTCACCCTGCGCCGAGAGCCCCTCATCAAGCCCCCCCAGGGCCAAAAACACATCCCGCCGCATCACAAACGGCGCGAAATCCACCACACCCGCGAAAAAACCCCGAAGGCTGGTTCGGGGGTCGTAGGAAGGGTGTGTCCACAGCCATCCCCCGAACCTATACCAGGTTAGGGGAGCGCCCCAGTTACTTCCGTCCACATCGATCTTCCCGGTCCTGTAGCCCACAGCAGCGACTAGCGGACGGGCTTCCATCTCGTGAAGGATTCGCCATAGCCAGCTGCAGTCCCAGGGGAGCAGGTCGTCGTCCTGTAACAGGGTTACCATGTTACCACGCGCGGTTTTGGCGTGGGTGTTGAAGCCGCGAATCTCGTGGGCGTTGTGGTCGAAGGTGACCTGCAGGTGGAAGTAGGGGTCGCCTGGACACTCCCTGCTGCTGCTGCTACTGCTGCTGCTGCTGCTGCTGCTGCTGCTGCTGCTGGTGCCGCCGCTGCTCCCGCCGCTTTTTGTGCTACTGTTGCTGTTTCTTCTTGCACTGGCGGTGGCAAGGGCACCAGCAGCGCCGGCCGTAGCAGCCGGGTCAGCAGGGTTGGTGAGCGGCTTCCTCCCACACCAGTACTCCCTCCATTCCCTCCACTCCTCGGGACTATCCGCATGCACTAACATCTCCACCACCCTCACTCTCCCTCCCTCCACCGCTCCCCCTTCCCGCCCAGCCTCCCTCTTCCTAACACCCCTCATTCCACCCACCTCCCCCCTTCGCCTCCCCTTTCCCGCCCCCCCAGCCCTCGGAACCCAGGTGCAGTTATGGGGGCGGGCGAGCAGGTCAGCCATCATGCCAGGCTGGCGGAAGTACTGCAGGAGGAAGGAGACGGCGGGGGGCGGGGACGGGAAGAGGTGGGGGGAGAGCCGTGCGAGAGGGGAAGGGGCTCTCAGTCCCATGCAGGTGCGAGCTGCCCTGCCGGTCTCCTGCCCACTGCACCACCACGTGCTTCTACTGCTTGCCCGCTCATTACCTTCACCCTTCTTTTCCTCCTCTTGCCTCCCTTCTCCCCCCTCCCCTCCTTTTCCTCCTGCTCCTTCTCCTCCTCCCCCACTTCCTACCCATTTTCCCGCGCGCTCCCTCCCCAGTGATTCGATCCCAAATCCATCCAGTCCCAGACCCTCGCTCCAAAATCCACCCTCTCTCACCAGTGTGCTCCGCTCCTCCATTCTCAGCCGCAAGTCCCTCGCATCAACTCTGCACTGCGCCTGCAGCTGCTGCTGCAACCGCTGCAGGTCGGCTGTTATAGCAGCCATGAGATCCCTCAAGGGGTGCTCAGGGACGGAGGCGAGTGAGGGAGTGGAGGGAGATGGGGATGCAGCGGAGAAGGAGGGGGAGGAGGAGTAGGGAGTGAAGGATGGGTGGAGCAGCGACTGTTGGTATTGCTGGTGAGCTGCACTTAGGGAAGGGGAGTCGCCGCAAAGGGAGGTAAGAGTCGGTCAGAAGAAACGAGAAAGAAGACAAGGGTGAGGAGACGAAGTGAAGGAGACATTCGAACGGATGGCACCAGAAGAACCGTGCAGTTATTTTAAAATAATGGAGGAAAGCAGCAGCCGCAGAACAGGGCAGAGCAGAGGAGATTAAATCAAATCAGATCAGACCAAATCAAATCACAACAGAACAGATCGGATCAGACCAAATAAGAACCCATTAAAAAAAACACTGGCTAGCAGACCAAGTGGATGCCATGACATATGGACGCCATGCCCATGTGGTATGCCCCGCACACGTGCACGGCATCCCATCCCATGTCAAAAACACAAGCCCCGCACCAACACAATCACGCACCACAAAGAGACATCATCCATCCCCGCATTCCCCACAGCCCTTATCCATCCCCGCATTCCCCACAGCCCTTATCCATCCCCGAATTCCCCACAGCCCTTATCCATCCCTGCATTCCCCACAGCCCTTATCCATCCCTGCATTCCCTACGGAACTACCCTCCTGCTGCCTTCCAAGCCTTTACTACGTGGGGGAGGGTAAGAGCGAAGGGGAAACAAAGAAGGCGGAACGGAAGGCAAGGGAGGGAGCAAGGCAAGGGAAGGCAGGGAAGCGAAGGGGGAACGGAATGTGGGGTTCAAACAAGCAAGCACGCACGCGTGTCAAGCAGCCACGTCAGCCCATCAAGCCCCACCTTGAGCCAGTCGTCCCATCCATGATGCAGATGGAAAAGTGAGCCCGGTTAACTGAGTGCTTACCTTGAGCCAGTCTTCCCTGCAGCGCCTCGTGCTGCTGCAGCATTGCCAGGCATGACACTGCCCTCGCCTTCACCCCCTCCCTCCATCGCCGCTCCTCAAGCAACTGTTGCAGCTGCTGCTGCTGTTGCAGTTGCAGCTGCTGCTGCCGCTGCTGCTCGTGCTGCTGCTGCTGCTGCTGCTGCTGCCGGTTGTCCTGCTGATGCTCCTCCTGCTGCTGCTCCTGCCACTGCACTGGTCTTCCCTTGCTCGTCCCCACCGCCTTCACTAGACTAACGTTCCACTTCCGTTTCTCCAAGGCCCCTAACCGTCTCCTCATGCCTCCCCCTTCCACCCTTCTCTCTTCCCCTGCTCCAACGCTCTCCTTCTCCCTCTGACTAACATCCCCTGTGTCCCCATCCCCTGCCTGAACCCCTTCCCTCTCCCTCCCCTCTCCCACGTCTCCCGGATCCACTCCCCTTCCTTCCGTCTTCACCCCCTTCCCCGCTTCCCTTCCGCCTGCTTTCCGCCACGTCACGCGCACCATTCTCCCCCCCGCCTGCTCCCACGCCCCTCCCGCCACCGCGTTCGGCACCCGCCCATCCACCGCTACTACCAGCAGTGGAACTTTCGGAGAATTTGTAAGTGTTTTACTTAACAGGGCAATCGGGTGGGTGGGGTCAGTGAGCGGCGCGAAAACGGCTTGGTCTAAGTGCTGCTGCCACTTCTGCAGGTGCTGGCGGTGCTCTGAAAGGAGTGACGCGAGAGAAGGAGAGGAGGGAGGGGAGGAAACAGCAGGCGAGACTCCAGCGGAATCAGCGGATTCTCCTGTTTCGCTTATTCGCTGATTTTTGGCGGAATCAGCGGAATCAGCAGGCGATCCTTCCGCTCCTGTTTCGCCTGTTCTTGGCAAAGCGGGACGACTAGTAGTGGGACGGGGACTACTAGCAACGGCTGTGGGACTGCTAGCGGGAGGGGGGCTACTAGCAACGGCTGTGTTCGCAAATGCCGCTACTTCCGCTGCCGCTCGTCTTCTCCCCTGTCTGGCCTCTTGCCACGCATCTTCTGTTTTCTGCAATGATCCGATGAATTTCTGCACAGATGGTACTCTATCGTCGAAGATTCTACTAGCGGGGATATCGGGCGATTGTAGCTGTAAAAGAGAGGCGTTTTCACGCGGATCTTCACATCGTGCGCATGTCACGGCGAGGGAGATGATAATAACGAGGACATGCAGTCGAGGTACGACGATTAGCGTGGTTCCGGCCATACGACGCTCCGGCATGACGATGGGCGTCAGACGCGGCGAACAATTTTTAAGTTTAGGAGAATGATCGCCATCGGGTAACCCTTAGGCGGAACGCCACATGCCATCGCTAGCTACTGTAATCTGCGAACCCGAACAGCTCTGGCTGGTCATTCGCAAGTCGCGAAAAGGCGCCCGCGAGATGCAAGTGCGGGATCTCATCTGACTTATCTGATCGGCGGCTGTCCGCATACGAGGCAACGCGATTAGGAGCAAGGCTGCGACAAACAAACACACTTCAAAGAATGATCAAAGAATCAGAACTTTGTTGGTTCGGATATGAAGTAGAAGAAATATCAGAGTAGAGTGTTTCAAGTATAAGCCTAAAATGACGATGAACCTTGTGAGTCTGTAGCGAGTATATTGTGTATCGTATGTATGGACTGCTGTCAAAGCGATTGCCCTCGTGAGAAATCGCCTGCTTTGTTCTTTCTGGCGGCGACAGAGTGGTCAGCTGTCCAAGACAAACTACTTTTGCCCCGAGCCCATTGGGCGTTGTGGTGAGCCGCATCACCGCAACTCCAGATCAAGGGTCGCGATTCTCTGCACAACTACAGTACACCTAATGCTCGCTAGAGTCCCCCAAGGTTGCCTTTCCCTTTGGGCTTGTAAGTGGTTTTTGCAATTCGAGCAGTTCGTCGCATTTCGCCAGAGCCAACATGGGCTTATAAAGTACCCGAATTGTTACACGTTTGTTTTACACGAAACAATGTTGGCTTGCCTGGTTTGGTTTTTTAACTGTTGTTGTTGTTACCACTTTAGATCATCAAACTGTAACGGCCCATTTCACAAAACAACCCATTCCCTCACAAACAACCCCAGACCACATCCAGGCCAATCACAGCGAGCCATCTCAACCAACAACACACAGCTCCCCGAAGCACAACGAGCACCAGAGTCAATGAGATGTTGACCCTGGTGTACCTGGTGAAACACCAAGTACAGAGGCGGAGTTGGGCCAACTCACAGACGCACCCACTCCGCCGCATCCATGAAGCCGTCCATGACGGCAGGCGCGCCAGCATCAATGAGAGCCTGGCGAGGGGATGGCGCCGTCATCCACGCAGGGAGGACGCGCCCACGAGGACGAGGGCGCACGGCATCCGGGGTCTCGGACAGCCTGGGGGTGGCGATCGGGGTCGCGTTGAGGTTCAACGGCGGGCTCGCCCTCTCCATGCGCGCCACGATGATCGGGTTGCGGATCTCGAAGAGTGCGCAAAGCTCGCGGGGGGTGATGCAGGTGGAGCGCGCGTACCCGATGAGCATCTCAGATGCGGCGCGCGCATAACGACGAGCCTCGCGGGACGCGGGATCCGCATCTTGGTAGACCGCCTCCATGCTCGCCGGCGGCTCCCACGAGGCAGCCGAGTACGCCGTCGCAGGCTCCTCGGCCAAAGGGTCCTCCCCAGGCTCGGCGCATGTCGGCTGCCCCGCGTCGATTGCGACGAAGTCGGCGGCCGGCATCGCGCTCGGCCCGAGAGCAAGTCGGTCTATGAGAATCCCGACATCACCGATCTCCTCATCGAGATCGATGTCGAGCGGTGCAACGTCGCGCCCACCAGGAGTCAGGCCTGCGGTGCCGACGTGGGACAGAGACAGAGCCCACGCGAGGGGGAGGCACTCCGTCCGCCACCAGCACCTCTGAATCGTGCGCGGGCCGATGTTCATCCAGGCGTCCAGCAGCCACGCCAGGACGTCGCGGAGGAAATTCACGGTGGCGCCGCCCTCCACCCACCTTTCGACGACGGCCTCGAGCCAATGCTGCCTGTACCGGGCCTTCGTCATGGCGATGAGGCCCTGGTCCAGCGGCTGAGTGAAAGCGGTGGTGTTCGGCGGAAGGAACACCAGGCGGAGGTTGCTCAGCGACCGCGTGCGGAAGCCGAACAAGTCCTCGGTCTCGGCATCCTCGGTCTTGAGCACGTGACTCGAGGCGTTGTCAAGCAGGATAACGATGTGGCGTTCTTCGGCCACCATGGCCGCGTTCAGTTGCTCCATGAAGAGCGTGAAAAGCTGCGCACAAGCGTACGAAAAGGGACGGGGGTTGGACGTTAAGTTAGTACAAGCTATCATGGCCGCGTGCGTGAACCGACAATGACATAAATGCATTGATTGAAAAATTGTGAAGCACATACCAGGGCGGTCATCCAGCCCTTCTTATTGTGGCGCCAGTAGCACAGTGGCTCGGGGTCGAAGTCGGGGCGGAAATCATGGGGCCGCCTCGACTTCGAGATCACGAGCGGGCGGAACGCGTGGCTCCCGTCCGCGTTCACGAGAAGCCCGACCGTGAGGCGCTCCTTTGGAATTTTGCGACCCGCCACCCGTGTACGCCCGTACGTCTTCCGGGGCAACATCGAAAGGAACAGGGCGGTCTCGTCGAAGTTGTACACGTCGCGCGGGGAGACACAGAGGTAGAGGAGAAGCTGCGGGAGCTTCTCCTTGCAAGTGCGGACCACAGCCATGTCCTGATCCGCGGCTTCCCCAGCAGCGCTGTGGCACCGAATGCCATTGCGGCGCAAAGCGCGATGACCGCGACGTGGTCGCGGATCGTCTGCAGCGTGAGCGGGATCCCCGCGGGGCCGGCGTTCGAGATCCAGCGCACCATGGCGCTTTCGAGGTCGGGCTGGGCTCCGCCACGAACACGGACGGGGTTGCTGTCCGCGGAGGGCGCGCGCCAACGATCCGCCGCCTTCAAAATCCGTCCGATCGTGCTGCGGTCGGGACGGAGCCCGTACCGAGTAAAACACCAGCGCGCCAAGTCAACATGGCGCATGAGAGGGTTCTGCACATGATGCGCGCAGATCGCCTTCTTAATGTGCACTGCGAGCTGCGCGCGGCGGTAGAGACGAGGCATAGCTGTTGAAATGAAAGTGGGAGTAGACTGTGATTGTCGAGGGGAATTGCAAGACGTTTTATCCTCGCTTGTCTCGAACCCGCTTCCCGTCAGCTTTTTGAGGTTTGATGTTGAGTTTTGGCTGAGGGTTCAGTCATCGTGTGAATGGGAACGCGGAGGTGCGTGTAACATTCATGGGTAACCACAGGCCACACGGGGTGACGTGGGTTTAGTGGGCACAAAGGTTAGTACACGTGTGTATAACCCGCATGCTGGGTGGCCGTGTTCCCAGCGCTGGGGCTCTAACATGCACACGAGACCGCTCACCCGCATCGGGTGACGTGGGTCAGCTAGACATACGTCAACATTGACGTGCGTCAAAGCTGCACGGGCAGCCTCCACGTGGCGTTTCAATGTGCGCCTTGTGTGTTTGGCGCACATTGAAACACCACGACGTGGCATCCAGTAGGCTGCGAAGAGGTGCGCGACGTCAAACTCATTTCGTCCACAGTTTTCGCTCTGCCTGTCCCTGGCCTACGGACAACGAGACTCCGGGGCGGGGGCGGTTGTTGTTGGTGTAAGTGTTGCAGTTGTCGTGATTTACCCAACTTGCCCAAGTAGCTCGGCGTGCCTATAACCATGGTGCAACTGCCCGGGTTCGAATGCACGCGGGCAGAGTTTCTGCAGCGTGCAGGGCATTTTCGCGTGCATGGATCGGGCATCGTGTGTATTCTGAGCTGTTGGGGGAATCTGGATTGTAGCACCCTAACGAAGCCTTGTAAAACGTGAAGAAAAATACTCAACCGTATGTAAGGGCGTGGAACATTTTTACGACCATGCCCCATTGTTGACCATACGGTTGGCTCTGGCGAATGCGAAGGGTGTAACAGATTTGCGATGGATGCGAGATTTCTAAGCTTTCTGTTCGCCAGCACGCAGGGCACCTACTAAATCCACCCCCACAAAGCAAAAACATATGATCCCAGTTTAAGCATTCGAAAGGGTGCGGGATATCCGAAGGAGTTTTACAGAAATGAGTTAAGTGTCAGCCATTTTTTATAGTTTTTTTTTTTTTTAATTTTGAATGCAACACATCCTGGGTAGAATTGGAGGTCAACATTGCCCTTTTTAGTGGATAGTGAAAGTCGAGTCCCCAACAGACTTACGGAAAACGCCATTGCGTTTTTGTCAAGTCAGGGTGACTAGTCTGCAGACGAGTCAATGGGGTTTCCCGAAATTTATCGCAATCGCCAGAAGCAACCACACATCCGACCATTCCGCGTGGTCGTAAAAATGTTCCACGTCCTAAACTTCACAAAACATTCCCTTGATATCTCCGCTTTTGTCGAAGGTACAGCCGATGCTCACCCTATCACAAAACAAATGCTTAACAATTACAAATTTACTCACTCGCGCCCGTGGTGTGACTGAATTGAGCATTGTGAAATTTTAGTTGTACAGTCACATATGTGCGGAAGTCAACATCTATAGTGCACAAACAACAAAGGATACACGTCAGCAGAGTGGTGACCTGGTTACAAAATTAAAGCCCCACATTCCACTTTCATTGCACTTTGAGTCACAATTTTGCCTGGGGCGACGAGGGCGAAAGTACGGGCGAATGGACGAACTGCCAAAACTCGTTTCACTCACATGCCGCCCGCCTACCTGGTGTTCTTGTAATGGGCACCGACTGTAGCGGCTGTGAGTGCTGTACAGTAACTCGTTCCGTTCTTTCTGCCTGTGGGCCGTGCCCCTTGTTGTGTAGTAAACTGTACACACACAGATGAGTTTCGCTGCCAAGCAGCTGGTGGTCCCAAGCTTTGACTGGACTAGACAGATAATCCAGCAGGTTAGCCGCTTATTACCGCATCCAGAAACTCTAAACCATTTTGAACTCACTCATACAGTTCAAACGTCCCCGCTTGAGTGTAGGCAACTGGAACTGCTTCAATTCAGCACAAGCTGCTTTAGGGACTGACGGGGAGGACCTTAGCTTGCAACTGCATTGCGGGTCGAGCACGCGGTGCGCACTATCAGAGGAAGCCCTAATTGTAGGTGTAGTTCGGCGTCAATCTAATTTATCGTCGATTGGTAGCTCCGAAGCGTCTCGCGTGTCGCGTGGATCCATCCTAAAACTTCAGAGCTTCTTAGGTGTATCTGTCGACCGTGCGGGCTGAGAGCTTCTTAGGTGTGTATCTGTCGACGAACCGACCGAAAAGCCACCTTGTGTCGTTTAAGGAATAAGTTAACTTATTTTCCTCCTGGACGAGTCGCGCGTATTCTTTTGCGCTCCTCGCGCCAGTCCATGGCTCGCGTTTCCGAGTGTTGAGACGACTGCCCACCGTCCACACTTTTGAGACAAGACTGTCTTTTCGTACTATTCGGTAACCATTTCGCCCTGCGTAAGCCAACTTGCCTTGAAGTTACGTCAACCAACGTTTTTATTTTTCCAACGAATGCGATGGCGAAGCGATAGCCTCGGCGCAGTTCATTGGTTCACAAATAAGAGGTTGACCTAAATTCGGGGCCGTTATTGTCAATCAGCCGCTGTCCGTTGACGTCAGCATGGTTCTAGGGCGCCGCGCCTTATGGCGCACCCGAGGCGACTCGGGCGGAAGCCTCGACCTTCCGGGAAAGGGGGGGTCGGCCGGCAAAACAGACGGCGCGGCGGTGGTCGACGACGATCTAGTCATGACGGAAGACTGGGACGGCGCGACGGCCGGCGCGGCGGGAAAAGCGCAAACCGGTGGAGGACACGGCCAGGTGGGAGATGCTAAAGCCGGCGTAGACGGCGCCGGCGGCGGCGGCGGAGGCGACGGAGCAGGCGAGACAATGGAGATTATGCTAGAAGACGGGCTGCAGTTGACGGTGGAGGTAGACTCGGGGGAGAAACTTCTGAACGAGCTGGGGTACAAGCAGGAGCTGAAGCGCGCGCTGGGGTTCTTCGAGCTGTTTTCGATTGGCCTGTCTACTGTCACCGTGTTTACCGGCATCGTGCCTTACTACGGGTGAGATGCGTTGATTCCGGCGAGAAGCTTCTGAACGAGCTGGGGTACAAGCAGGAGCTCAAACGCGCGCTGGGGTTCTTCTCGCGGCCTGTCGACTGTCACCGTGGTTACCGGCATTGTGCCGTACTACGGGTGAGACTTCCCGTCGTGGATACTCGTACCATCCTTACCGCCTGTTTTTGCCTCTTTGAGCTCGTCTCGTCTCCACTGCCTGTCGACCATCACTGCGTTCACTGGCACTGTGCCGTACTATGGGTGAGGAGGATTCCCGCGTAGAAAATGCCCATGTTGGCTGTTCGTGCCTCTTCGAGCTGTTCTCCGTTGGCCTCTCGACCATAACAGTGTTCACCAGTATAGCACTGCTGTACTATGGGTGAGGGGGATTCCCGCGATAGATACAGATACCCGTACCGGGAAAATGTCTACCCTGAGGCGTCTCACCGCTCCCCACCCCTCCCCACCAATTCCGCTCCATCGTTTGATGCCCACCCTTCCTTTCCACCCCTTCCTGCCCGCAACTGCCCTCCTCATAAACCCCATATTCGCCGCCCTGTCCCCCCTCCCCCCTGCCCATTCTTGGACCATCCTTCTACTTCCACCTGACATTGTTTCCTGACTAAAAAATAAGCTGAATTCTTCCGTTCGTCATGGTGCTCCCTTTCGTTACAGTCACGTGTTCGTCAGCGGCGGCTCAGCTCAGGTAGCGTTGGCTCACCATCTCGGACTCGCTGAAATCACCAGCCCCCTCCTGTCTCTGTCTGTTCATGCATCCATCATCCCCGTTAACACTTGTAACTCGTTACAGTCAGGCGTACATCAACGGGGGGCCAGTGGCGGTGGTGTGGTACTGGTGGATCACCGTCTTCTTCACCCACCTCATCGCTCTCTCCATGGCCGAGATCTCCTCCTCCTTTCCCGTAAGTCCACCCCTCCTTCCCCTCCCCTTCCCCCTCCTCCTGTTCTTGTAAGTGGTTGTCCCTCCCTCCCATTGAGCATCTGTCTTCACGCACCTCATCGCTCTCTCCATGGCCGAGATCTCCTCCTCCTTTCCCGTGAGTCCCTCTCGCCTTTCCTTCCTCTTCCCTCTCCGCTCCTGTAAGTGATTTCTCGGCTCTCCTCCCCCCTCTCCCCTCTCTCCGCTTCTCTCCTCCCCTCTCTTCCCTCTGTAATTCTTTCACCCAGGCGTCAAGCCTTGGTACTTCTGGTCAACAGCGCTACTTGCAACAATCTATCTGTTTCCTTCGCCATTCCCTTACGTTTCTGCTAGACGTGAGAACAACACTCTATCTGTTTTCTCTGTTTTCTCCCTCCCTCCCTCCCTCCCTCCCTCCCTCCCTCCCTCCCTCCCTCCCTCCCTCCCTCCCTCCCTCCCTCCCTCCCTCCCTCCCTCTCTCCCTCCCTCCCTCCCAACCAACCGCCCCCCTTCCCCCCCCCTCCCTCCCTCCCTCCCTCCCTCCCTCCCTCCCTCCCTCCCTCCCTCCCTCCCAACCAACCGCCCCCCTTCCCCCAGGTGGCCGGGTCACTCTACTTCTGGTCGGCAGCACTGGCCGGCCCAAAGCACGGCCCCTTTGCAGCGTGGATCACGGTAAGATAGTGGGGCTTCAAGCGCTCCACCTTGAATGGCTGTGGGGGTTGATGTTTGATCGGCATGACGGGTTCTAGCTAGGGGTTGCAGTTGGTATGGGGGGTGCGGCTTGAGTGTTGTGAAATATTTGGTATGATACTTAATGGTTTCAGTAATCCTTAAATAGCAGCACAACTTCTCTTTTCCTTCTCTGATCCCGACCCATCCTCCCCCTCATTCTATCCCAACCCCCTAACCCCCCTCTCCCCCAACCCCTCCTTCCTGTCATCTTTCCCCAAACCTTCCTCCCCCATTCTCTCCCCCGAAATGCTCCGCCCATTCTCCTCCCCCCAAACCTCCTCCTCCTCGCCCGTCGCCAGGGCTGGTTGGAGTTTCTCCCTCCAATTTTTCCGCCCTATCATCTCCTCCCTCCCTCCAAACCTCCT